AAGTAAAAAAGCTAACGAGAAAGGTTGCAAAACTGACGTCAGCAAAAGCAATGTCGCCGGCCAGCACTTCGCAGTCTTGCTATTTCATGTGTAGAACCCATACAGCGCTCGTGCCATCACCCAGCGTGTATTATCGTCGGTTTTGCTTGCTATCACTTTTAGATAGCTCGCTATTGAGGAGAATGATTAGGTCTCATTTCGTTTTTGAAAGCAAGCATTCATCGTGTATTCGAACTTACGTATATTTGGCCTAGTCTAGGTACTGGAATACTGAGGGAAGCCAATTGTGGAGGAGCTATGCAGCTGTTAAGCTCGCACAGCCGCGGGGAGTTCCTGCGACACCCGTGAGTGACCTTCTTTTATCGGAGGGTACCTCTCGCAGTTATAGAGGTGTACAGATATCTAGCGAAAGAGAAAACGCAGTGTATCCAAGTCAAGGAAAATCCGAACGAGGAGCCCGCGAGGGCTAAAAACCTTGCGAATTACTCCTGGCGTCGGTGGGTAACTGAAACTGCTGAGAAACAATGTCTCACGTCACATGTCATAACCACTAATGGCGATACCAGGGCGCCTCAGTCATCCCAACTCAGCAACATTCTTCACCATTCAACACGAGCTGACATTTCTGTCCCGCTGTTGAATAGCTTCAAAGACAGGTCCAGACTAATACTAGATTAGGTCGATTCGTTGTATAGTGATTCAGCCTCTTATTATGTGTATAAGCTCATTTATCACACTAATATGCTTACGTGGGCTGATAGGGCTACGAGGCTTGCAGTAGCAAGAAACGTTTTGCTGGGAAATGGGTGCAGTCATTTCTCCTCCTAAATTTGCGCCCTTAAAATACTTGTGAATAGCACTTTCGAGACCTCTGCAACGCCAGGCTTCATATAATTACGCTACGTAAAATTGTTCCTGCTTGATAGTTTGATTTGTTCGTTAAATGAACCCAACATGTACCGCTAATCATTGTAGGATGTAATTGAACGCCTTTTGTACTGCCTATTATATTCCGAACTCGATGAGATTCAATTTGAAAAAGACGTTGGACGTTAATGAAATGTCACTTGACGCATGGCACACAGGAAACACTGTTGTTGATTTTCACCGACATGTGATTTCATAAGCGATTGCTTTCCGGGATCGTACAATCTTCTATGTTGTTGAAAAAATTCGGGCTGTTCTGGAAGCCAAGATAAGCGTTGTTGTTTATTCTGTTTGGCTCAACCGTAGCGTTAATAGCATAACCATAGACATAAGTTAGAAATGCACCGTATGCATGGGACGTCTTGATATGGACAAACATTCAAAAAATAGCTCTGGATATTGTGGTGAACGTGATCATCGGAGCAATGTAGACGATTATATACCGTATATATCACAGTCTCTAAGCCCATGTAAAACCGCTTATCAATTAGATTTCAAGTCTCAAGTTCAGTTTTCACTTTACACTTCGATAGATATTGACCAGTGATACCTGTAAAATAGTTATGGTACTAACTGAAAAACATAACGCACGCAATTAAAAAAATCAATACAACCGATGATCAAAAGTCCGCCACAGATCCGACCGATATAAATCAATATAGTATCGATACAATTTACATCGACAAAAACGATTATATATCGATATAACCAAGTATTCGAAATGTATTTTCGGGAATTTTATGTAAATGGTGTTCTGGAACCGAAAAAAGTTCTAATCTGACATTGCTATGAACATATACGCTAATGTAAAAATATTACTAACTTCTTTCTCTCCAGTAATATGTGATTATTGTTACTAAACACTGCTTAAATGGCGCATACTCCCTCTCATAGTGTGATCTATAGTAGCATATTGAAATACTTCGTGATAGCCTGTCTTTCAATCATTCATTTTGCTTGATTGATTTATCACTACGTACATATCTTATCTTATCGAAGTTCTTTAGCTATAAATAAAAAAGGATGCTGGTATAACTACTACTACTGATAACGAAGTCAGATTATGTATGAAGTTATTCGACGTCAACTAGCGACCAGTGGGGCAGTGTATCTAAAACACTATCGGGTTAAGTCGTTTTGTATATTTTAAAAAAGATGAATTTGTCTAAATATAAAATAAATGGCATTTTAGAGTTAAGTTTTTTGAGCAGTTGAATAAAACAAACAAACCATGGACTACATAGATCAACTACGCGTCGTCTTCTTAGATGGCTGAAAATTAAGAGGGATATTAGAAGTGTAAATGTTTATTCCTTGATAAACGCGGGTTGTACAAGAGGTTGGCCTATGTCTTCCACCAGGACAGTTTTAGGTAATAGGCGCGGAACAAAAAACTTTTTCCACTAACAGAATTATGTCGAATTCTGCCTGCCAGAAACAAGTGCCTTTGCGTTTCGGTCCAATGATTTAAAGTAAAACAATAGTAACAGAAGTAAGTTAAAGTGCTTAGACCGCCTTATTAATCCTGAAATGTGCAGATTAAGTACTGGCGCTCGCGACCATTCGAACGGTCGGTTACTAAATAAATTCTATACTTTGTGCTAATTTAACCCAGAATATCTTTTAGTTGAACTTTACTTGGCTTGGCTTTGTTCTTACATAGCAGCGTAAAGCGCGCGTCGTCCTAATAATATGCAGCTGTTCACTGTTAAGTACCTATAGTAGCCTGTATCGATAGCCACATAGTAGATACGTTTTCTCTCACGCCGTTTTTGTCTGACAAAACCAAAATGTTGACTGTTAGAATTTTATACTGATCTTAGTTTACGCCTTATAATTTCAATAATAGCCATTGCATCAATGATGAGGGTAACGGCATGCCAGTGGTCACTGTGTTAGTAAAACTGAACGAACCCAAAATAAATGTTACTGTCAACATACGATTGTCACCACGCAGGGTCCTATCTACCTATCCTAATAGTATAATCGTACAAGCAGTCCACTAAAATAGACGGGTCAATTGGACAAACAAACTGAAATTCGACCCATTTTATAAAGAAATTTCGCAAATGACATTTACAATCTTCAAAGAGAAATCTCTGTCTGAGAGTGGTCTCGTTATCAGTTTCAGGTGATAGGATTCATAACTCTCAAGTACAATATGGACAAAAACCACGAGATAGTTTCATCAATCTACCACATTTTACTTTGTGCGTGCACATTAAGTTGAAAGAAAGTTAAAAAAAAAGGAGTGTAATTAACACGTTTTAATATCTTGTGAGAGTAAGGGAAAAGGGCGTTACCTTTATATGTATATCTTTTCCTTTCTGCACACCTACGTTGCTGATTCATTAGTAAACGTTAGTAAACGTGAGGGGGTAAGTATTCTCTTCAATAAGTGACTGGTAGGGGGTGTAATAGTCGTACTAAAACCAAGTGAAACAGTGAGCGGATTTTACGAATTCAATTAATCATAAAACTCACTGAGAATGTTGTTTTATATAGACTTAATACGGATAACCCAAAGCCGACAACACGAGTAAACCAGAAACTTTATCTACTAGTCTATCAGTGCGGTATCTTTAAGAAAACTGGAGACTCTGAAGGCAGATAGGATAAGAGCATCTTAATAAAAAATAGCTAGTCAGCTTCGGTTGTGATAAAATTTGGATACCTCGCTCGCTATACACGTGGCTCTTGCCTAATTTCTGCTATTATACAACAGGTAGAATCTGATTCCAAATTGTCTGGGTATATATGCGTGCTACTATATGTCGATCATATTTGGAGATTATGCGATTAACGGGCGCGCACACCCCATGATTTCCTTGTAGCGGGGTCTAAAACGATTCCAAAGCCGGAAACTATACGACACTCTAGTTACCCATTTAAGTTGTTTAAATGTTATATGGAAAGAAATAATTCTTCAAATCTTAAAATATACTTCACAGTTGCCATACAGGCTAAATACCAGAAACGCGCATGAAAAGCATCGAAATCATCAAGCTTAAAATCTCGTGGACCTAAGGAGATCGGTCTAATAAAATCCCGCGACTTCGATCGTCAAGTATTGAAATTATCTTTACCATGGTATATTGTAACAGTACATCGTACTAAAAAATATTTCTCGGTACTGCAGTCATTCTAATTATTCGTTACATTTAATCACCAACTGTACTTGCATGGATAGCTTACAAAGGATACTGTGGTCAGTGAATCTCCAAACTGAATTTACAAGGAACTTGAGCTTACAAAGCGAACATTAAAGTTTTATAAAAACACAGAGCACATGGTAATCGATTTTTAGTGCTCGATCTATATTAATGAATTTATCGAGTCAGCGGTCATAGTGATGTATAAATGCTGCTACTGAGACTAGCAAGGTTTATGCAGGTAAGCACTGGTGCGACTCTGTATGCTTAACAATAGTGTTAAGATAGCGTCACCGTCATAAAAAGGTCCTAGGCCTTAAGTGAAAAAAAAAACGAAAACCAAAAAAAAAATAAGAAAATACAATCTGTACCAATTCAAACAGATTTGGAATTATTTCTAAACAGTTCGGTTAATGCAAGCCTTATTTCGGAATCAATTTCGTCCGTTCAGCCTCGATTAATGAAAAACGCGTTTGTTTTCGCACGGTTTACGCTTAAAGAACGGAACTCAATCAAGAGACTGTAAACATGTATACAAAGCGGTTCGGGAACTAGTTAAAAATAAGCGTTTCTCCTTTTTTTTTTTGTAGGTAAAATACGCATTGCTAATTAATCAATTATTATTAACAACTTGTATGATAACCGATGTAAGCTGTTATAAACGGAAAGGCCTTTTCGAAAAAATATATACATATTTATATCGGAGCATCAATTTTAGTCATGCTAAGTAGCCAGCTATCAACTTAGTTTTGTGTTAATATATATATATTTTTTCCGGGTTTATATCTAAAAATACACACGTAATAGTTGGTATGAACTTGCAATCTTGTAAATGTTTGTTGTTACAAAGTAATCTTATATGGGCGAATACCCATATCTAAGCGTTGTCAACCTTCTACGAACGTCTGTGCGGTATTAGGGAAAACTAAAAAGAGGAACACTATCTGTTGGAAGAATCCGTAGGCAACGGACAGTTAGAATTCATAGTACAACAACACTCTATTTCAGTGAGAAATAGAACACGTAAATCTGTGTTGGTAGTCTGCCAAGGGATAACACGGTTCAACTCGGCTTCTGCTGTGTGTGAATTTCCAAAATGATGCTACCTCAATCAACGACGCTTCTTACGCTGGTCTCTCGAATCTTTTTTACAACCGCCATTACATTTGCAGTTGCCATTGTAATAGGGTTTGCATTTCTGCGTTATTGGCGAAATAAAACTTACCGTTTCTTGAAAGAATTTCCAGGATGGTTTGAGCCTATCCCACTTATCCGACATCTTTGCTTTCACTACAGCATACTTAATAGTTGTAAGGGGACCGGGATACCGTACGGAGTGTATCTGAACGACATGCTCCAAGGCATGACATTTATGTGGTTGCTGAAAAATAAAGGTGCGGTAGTTTCGTATGTCGCTGGTGAACCGCGTCTGCTCCTACTTCAGGCTGATCATGTTGAAAAAATTCTCACTCATCCAAGAAACCTCAGGAAAGGTTTCGGTTATGACTTTATGGCTCCATGGCTTAGCGGAAGCATTTTGCTAACAGCGGGCACGCGCTGGAAAGCTAAACGAAGGCTTTTGGTCCCTGCGTTTCATTTTCATGTTTTGGATGAATTCAGCTCCGTTATCAATAAATATGCCAGGGTGTTTGTGAATCGCGTCTTGACAAAGGATCGGGAAGACGACTTGGTACAATTCATATCAGCCCTGACTCTCGATATCGTCTGCGGCGCGATTATGGGAGTCAGTATACATAGCCAGACGAGTCAGTCGGGCCAGAAATATTTACAGGGGATTAGTAGGCTCAGCGAGCTAATAATCTTACGTATGCAAAATATTCTACACTGGAGTGACTGGATATATCAATTTTCTGAAGCTGGCCAAGAATTTTACTCGATTCTCGACTCGGTTCATGGCTTCACGGACCGGATCATAGACGATCGCAAGGCGAAATTGCTTTCTAATCCAAAATCACTGAGCACAACAGCAAGCTCAACTGCTAGTAAACCCAAAGCGTTTCTTGATGTGATGCTACAGCTGTATCTGGCCGGAGAAATGTCAGCGGAAGACATTCGCTACGAAGCTGATGCGCTCGTGTTTGCAGGGCATGACACAACATCCATGGCGCTCACCTATGCCATCTACTTGATTGGCTTACACCATGATGTACAACAGAAGCTGCAGCAAGAAGTGGATGCACTAATTGAAGGAAAAAACCTGGACAGAAATGATATCAGTTCTGAAGAAGTGCGTTCATTGAAATATATGGACATGGTGCTGAAGGAGTCGCAGAGGATCTACCCTTCTGTTCCGTCTATTGGGAGAGTCCTCGATGACGATATGCAAATTGACGGTATGGTTTATCATACGTTGACTTAGGTGTATGTATTGTTTCACTGGTGTAATGAAATTAACTACTTTTTTTTTTTTAACAGGCCTATTATATTAACGAACTATAATACTGACTAAAATTATTCCAGTTTCTTGTTCCAGTATTTCCTCAGTTTTTCTATAGAAACATGTCTAAGATTTAAAAAGTGTATGGCTATTAGATTTTGATCAATTATGGGTTCTGGGTGACGCCAAATAAATCCTTTGAGTAAGAAAAGATTCCATTGATCAATGACTCGTATTAACGAGTCATTTAAAGCTTCTGTATCAATTTTTCTAAAAGGTGTTTTAATAAACTTTTTGCAGACAATTTGTTTAGTTAGATTCTTAGTACGACAAGATAACCTGTAATGGGATCAGTTTTACGCGACAAAGCCGAAATATAAATTTAAACCATTACAAATAACAGCTGACTTAAAAAAAAGGGTTCGGTTATAAGAAAACAAAACGTTTATCACTTACTTACAGTTTTACTATGTTTTTAACTGATCAATTGGATTTTACCTAGAGTACCCCTTAAAAAGTTAAATACACCCTCTATTTTCAAGTCTAATAGGTACCTTGTATATAAATAATAAACATGCATTTATAAAATGAGCATGTTAAAAATAGAACCTGCTGAAAAAGTTCAGTTCCGCTACGCTATTTCGTAGCGTGAAATGACTTTCTCGCAAAATAGAGACGATGAGACGGATAAGGGAATCCCTCTATCGGAGAGCCTCAACAAGTGCAGGTGTTTTGGTGCTCCTTCGAGTGCCACTATGAAATCGACGAATACAGTAGAGAATTTAGAGGATGAAAAAATCTGTGTGTGTGCTAATTCTGCTGCTGCGGTTTTTTTCTGTTAGAATCTGATATCTTTCTTATTTTTTTTTATAGGTCTGGAATAATTTGAACTTATTCAACTTACACGAGTTGAATTTGGTAAATATGGAAAATATGAAGTTGAAACCTAAATATTCGGCTATGGAAAACGTATCTGCCGTTTCAAGTTAAAACCAAAGCAAACATTTTTCGGGTATTAAAATAACATTTATTAAACTGTTCTGCTTAATGACATTCTGTCATTTGTCTTATAATAGCGTAATCCTATCAATGTAGAAATTATGTAGTTTCTGAGCGAAAAAAAATATTACAAGTAATTCTTGCATTCCTCCATCCACAGGAAATTAATAGCATTAAGGGGGTTTTGCAGAGACCGAAACAGATGATAGCTGGATAGTGCAAGATTAAAATTGTACGGCGGATGCATTAAAATTTTTAATCCCAGGCCCCAGTCTCTGTTGAGTAGGTCTGGCATTATCATGATGGAAGACGACGCCTTTTCTGACTTGTGATCAACTGCTTTAAAATGATTCGATTTCGTAGCGTTTCTGGAGGTTTTTAGAGACAAATTCAAATAGGTGTTTTTTTTTGCGTCAATTCGTGTGGGGCCCAAAGATCGAGCCTTTTTGCAGCCAGCTTCCGAAAAATGCTTTCTTTCTCAGTTTTCGCGATTATTTCATGAACTTTTTTGTGACTGGTCGAGAACTCCGAAGAACACCTTTCACATCGAATACTGCATGACAAGAGCGACAGAATAATCCTTGGGCCGCGTATTGCAGTGACGCATCTTGGCCGTAAACAGCGTAATTTTTTTATGAACCTAGCCAGCATTTGTACTTTATCGTAATAAAATTGTAGAACATAGCGAATTTTCTGCGAAATTTTACTTATCTTTATAACGGTTTATCTCAAGTCTGAATGAAGTCATTTTAGCAATTCTAGCGTATTTACTTTTGTTAAACTACTATACCGATCCGTGTAGACTCAATTCTGCGTAAGTATATAACTCTAAAGACATCTAGTAAAAATTGCTGGTTTTCGACCACTACGATTACATTTTTGGTTACCTTTCAACCTGATATGTCAAACGACTTTTTGGTTAGCGTGAATCGGGAACCGGCGTTCTGCACAACCTATAAAGAATTCTGTCAAAGTTCTGGTCCCGTACGACCACGGCAAGCTCAAACAGCTTTCTTACGACTTCGTGCAAATGTTTCCTAACGAGTATGGAACTGCATCAAAAACGATTCGAGATCAGTTTTTCAATTTCCTTTCCGTCTCTGCTAGTTTATGCCTTTAAGGCCCTTCAGAGTATAAATTCTTTAGGATTCCTAAAAGGTCGTTTACAAGCTTTTTCCTAAAGCCTCGTCATTTCTTTTGCTTTACAAAGGGACACAACATGTGAACTTGTTGGTGTTCTATTCTGGAGCAACAAAAAAAATATGTAAGTGAAGGGCTTGCGTGCTTAAATTTTTTATATTCCATGCTCCTGACAACTGGCGTTCTTAAGTAACGTAAATTTGACACTCAAGGCTTATTCAGTTCAGCTAAAATTAATCGTATAGTTCAGTAAATGTAGAAAGCGATTACATTTAATTTTATATTGCTCGAATTGTGGCCACCTATAATTTATATATGGAATCATTCTTACACTTGTTGTAGCATGCCAAAACGACGGTTTTGCCGAAAATTTGTTGACTTGTCAGGATGGATAGAAGCAAAACAGCGCCAATTTTTTAACCTCATGAGATGTTTTACTTGTTGTTTAGATATGAAATTCATGAGAAAATACTGTTCTCTTTATGCATGCAATTTAAAAGGTATACCTCGTATTTCTATCAAAAAAAAAAAATGAAAGATGAAGTAAGATTTTTTTTTCTTTTTACCTTCAGACATACAATTAATGCAGCTAGTCGCTTTGACAGAGACTAGAATATTAGAAAGCGAATCTAAGTTGCGACGCCTAATGACGTGAGGTGAATAAACGGTGTCCCATTTTTCGACCATGAGAAACTATGAAGATGATTCAATTACATTAAAACATGTTTCTTCGTGGCTATTTGACCTTTTGTACAGGTATATGATTTTGTAATCGCTATTGGAAATTACCGACATAATGAACTTAGTTATCAACAAAGTAGCCCTGTTCGTGCTCGCATAAATCGTTCCCACAATTGCAGTTTGCCAAAACAACAGTTTGGACTTCCCACTAACCATTATTATTATTATTTATTTTTAGTCCCATTGACACATGTTAAAACGAAGTAAGGAGGTTCGCCGTTGCCAGTTTGTTGTAGCAACTACCACTATGGAAAAACGGAAGCAGACCACGGAGAAAAAAGGCAGTTGCTGTTTAACTAGTCACCTTTTGCAGCCGCTTTCTGCGCTCGAAAGGCGAAGAGTTCCCATGGGTCCTTTCTTTTTGGAGAATAGATGAATAAAGCAATTGGTCTATTAGTATGTATGAAAGTTGAGAAAGATCAGTAATAGCTCTCTGTCCCTTCATTCGTCGCGACATGTACTTACGGAGTTGTATGCACGACAGCCGTGCTTCATCACTCTGTTATTGTAAAATATGACTCGACTGAAAAGTAAGCAAGTACCCGGAATGTATAAAAGGCTTGCACACTGTGATTGTCTCTCATGCGGTTGTCTTAAGTATCCATCATCGTTGGAAAAATTATTTACAGTAAACCTAGCTAACAGGTGGAGCCGTCAAACTCATTGGATTCTTCGTACGTACGAATACGCTAAGTTTAAATTTCGATACGGTTTACTATATATGTTCATGACAAAATACTGATTCCTTTTGTTTGCAAACCAAGATGTTGTGTACTGGAGTTGGCTTCAATAAAGCAAAGGTCCGCAGACTTCAACTCAATCGCTGATAAGCGTCAGTTCTCGCTATTTGGATTAATACTCAGGCACCTAACAACCAAATTCATGATATCTTGCGTGCTGTTAGAATTACTCATGCTGGCAATACAATCTTTCCATAGTTACATCGTCATTATAACGATTGTATTAGTCAGGTTCCTGTTTGTGGTTTATCGCTTTAACCAAATCTATTAGTTATTGAAAGAATTTCCAGGATGGCTTAAGCATATCCTACTGGCCCGCTAGTTAGAGCTTTACTGAAGTCTTTTCCGTACATCTGAGCAGACTGGAGTACCATGTGGAATGCATTTTTGCGACACCATCCAGGAAATGGTATTCATACGAGTCCTAAAAAGGAACCAACCAAAGTATCGTGCCTTCCCAGTTAGCGAAAATGATCGCATTTAGCGCGAAAAGACTCTCACTCATCAAACAAATCTTAGAAAGGCATTTGCCTGTGATTTTATAGTTCCAAGACTTGGACAATGCCGTTTGCCGGCAACAGAAAATCACTAGGGAATTAAAAGAAAATTTCTGACACCGGCATTTCACTTTCGCATTTTGGACGAATTTGCTATCGGTTGTAAATAAGCACGCGTGCATACTTACCAATTGCACCATCGTGAAAGTCTTTGTATCTTTTATATCTACCCTTGTCCTCAATATACTTTACGAAACAGTCGTAAGAACGAAGATTTGCTGCCAACGCATCAATTCTGATCAAAGGTATTTCCAGGGCGCATGTTAGCTAGAAAAGCTTTTAGAATCTTTACCACTGGAATGATCTTATATATCAGTTAACCGATTCTGGTAAGAAGTTTTGCTCTACATTTTCAACGATTCGTGGTTTCACACGTTGAGTTATTACTAATAGAGAAGCGGAGCATCCAAAGCTTCTGAGAGAAACGGCGAACCTGGAGAGCATAACAAAACAGTGAACGGGTCACAAAAAGCCTTTCCGACATAATGTTACAGCTGCATTTGGTTAGAGAAATGCCAGAGTGAAAACGTTTGCTGCAAGGCTGATATGTTCATTTTCGAAGGGTAACAATACTAGTTGCCTTCATCTATGCCATCTCCTTAATTTACTTACGTCCCGGAGTCCACCAAAAGCGGCAGCAGAAGGTTCCAAGAAGAGAACCTGGACACAGATGATATTAGTTCTGAACGAGTTCGTTCATTGAAATATATATGCATGATGTTGAAAAAGTCACAAAGAATTTAATTTGATTTTCCAGTTACATAAAGAATCGTTGGTGCTATATTAGAATTGACGGTACGCATATCTTGAAAACTATATTGCCAATATAGGGCACGCATTTTTTAAATGACTGTGACTCAGAAATAATATATTCATGTGTGAAAGTGAAGTACGGCATTTACAGCTTGGCAAAAAATCACTACTTGGTCTTTAATTACTCAAATTTTTTTAGTAATGTGTTCGTCCTAGCTGAAGTAAAATCACAAGGTTTCGAGTCGCTTCTCTTAAAAATATTATAAAATATGGAATTAGCTGGGCCGCCTAATTTCGAAAGTACTAGCTCAATCGCAAAATCCCGTTCCTCGCTTACCTGTAATAGTGTGTTCCTATTCTCGAATTTTCTTGAAATGAGTTACTACTAGGACTATCTCTCTCACCCTGTAAGATGCTGCCTCATCTAGAGTTTATCTGACGATAAAACAAAAAAGGGCCTAATGTATGCAGTCTACATATAAGCTAATGGAGATTAAGGATAGGCTATGAGGTAGCCTGTCTTGAAAACTTTGTATCGTTGATAGTGCAATGGGTGATATCTTTGTTTACTAAATTTTGGGTGTAGATACACTTTGTTTGTAGAAGAGGCCGACCGTCTTAAGTAGAAATTAATGGATTAAGTAATGGACCTAAAACACAAAAAAAGATTCTATAACGTTTATGAACTTAATGGTGCATTAATATGCGAACCCATACTATTATTATTATATAATACATTTTTAATTATCCTTCATTTTTAGTTTTTAATTAATAATCGTTAAGCTGCCTTGACTTTGGCATTCCGTTAAAATACAACTTAGCAGGCATTCGATATTGTAACATTAGTGTGAACATCTTCCAGGTAAAACAGTTCCACGTGGGACGAATATCAGCGTCGATTTATTTGGACTCCACCGCGACCCGACCGTCTTTCCATGCCCCGAGGAGTTTATACCCGAGCGCTTTGGGGCCGATGCAGCAAGTCGAAAGCCATTCACGTTTGTACCATTTTCGGCCGGCCCGCGGAACTGCATCGGCCAGCGCTTTGCACTTCTAGAGGAAAAGATTACACTCTGCCATCTTCTCGCCAGGTGATTCGTTGTCTGAGCTTCATAATAAATGAAAGAGTGCACTGTCGTTAATTGTAGAGCAACCATTTCTCTTTTAAAATTATCGTCCTATTGCACACCTACAGCTTTTTCATTCTCCGTACAAAAAAAAAGCAAATGACTTTTAAAAAAGCATAAAAGCAGTTTAATTTCTTTGGTTTCCTATCTTATTGACTGATAGGTACGACTGGATATCTCTGGATCCTCGAGATAAGCTTCAGCTTGTTTCGAACATTGTCCTGAGGCCAAGAAGCAAGATTCGGGTCGTCTTCCGAGCAAGAAAAACAAGTTGTCTTGCCTGACAGCACGGGGAGTAACAAACACAGTTAAATAACTGCGGTAACCTGAAGATGTAGTAACTGGTCAAAGAAGTTTCTCGCGTAATTTTATCATAATGTTGATAGACTCTGATTACAGATTTATGTTAATATTTCTGCAGTGTACTGTATCAATTATTGGCGTGTATATGCTTCGCTAAATGCTTCCGAATTTAGGTCTGCAGAAAACGTCTTCTAAAAGTCCTCTCCGTATGTTAAATTACTGTTGGTCACTAGCTAATCCTGCAATGAAGTGGGCTCTGTAATAAATTAACATAATTTTCAACTCATTATGAAAAATTATATCTTTAGTTCTAGATAAAATGTGTTTCTGCGGATTAAAATGCAGACCTTGCGTTGTTGCGTCAATGTGCGCACCTCCGTTTGTTTCTAGGTCCATCTGTTATGCCGTGAGTTGCTATCACTATTATATAATTTCTGCTTTTACTAATTTCGAGGTAATGATGACTATATGAACGTAATCTTACTCTTCGCCTACATTTTTTGAGTTCCTACTAATGAAAGATTATTACAGAATTGGATCTAAGCTTGCCTTAAACATAGAACTACTACGATTTAAGAAGCTGCCACAATGTGTAAACTAATACAAAACGCTTTCCGTAAGCGAGTATAGGAGGCTTAAATGCGACAATATGTAGTAATGTTTATTATTTTGATTACTTTGTAGTGGATTTGTACTCTCCGTATGAAATTGTTCTTTCTTGATTGATGGGGTCGAAGATAGATTTGAAGCTATAAAAGAGACATGTCTACGTATAGGAAGAGCATACATTTGTTGTTAGGGTCAAAATGGTTTCGATTTCAACTATGGGTCTACATTGTATCTACGTTGAATCTACAATTAACGTGATCAGCAGCACACACGCACAACTTAAATATTTAGATACCTATAAATATTCTATTTCGAATGTTTTGGGCTATACAGATCAGTGCTAAGAGAAATTTGTTCGACTAGCGTCAGTTTCTCATTACTCCTTCCCACAGTGATTTGTCAACAGTTGTGGAGCCGGAACTATTGAATTACAAAACGCAATCCAAAGATCATACATATATAAATGAGAAGAATGGATGAAACCAGGTGCTAGTCAAAAACGTAACGCATCCTCGTACACTTATGTTAACCACAGAAGCGGCAACCCAACGCCAAAAATCCGAAGACATCCATCTTGAAGCATCTTATTTCTTAACACCGTTATACGGAGCAAAGCTACCGTTATACTGGAGCCTGAACGGCAAAACACAACGAAAAGGTCATTTCGTTGTGAAATTTTACTTTTACTTGATCTATTCGTGATTCTTCTTGTAACAAGATTAGCTCACTATAATTTAGTTTAATTTTATCTACTATTATATACGTTACGCAAATTAATAAACACACGCAGATATAGTTCAATATGGCATGAACTATATTTCAGATGTCTTCCTTTATGCGTAGCCTGTTAGTTTGATCAGTTTATAGCTCTTCCTCGTTGGCCAAAGTGTATGCATATTACAGTCGCTCGTAAGTGCGCTTTGGCCTATTTCTAATCTCCGCTTCTTCATATTAATTAGTGGCCATTTCCAACTCGCCGTCAATGTCTACATATTGGTTGTATGTAATTTATATATATATATATACGGTTTCATATCCATCTATTCTGCCCTCTAAGACACGTGCTTCAAACAAACGTTCCAGCACAATAAACAAATGTTAATGGAAATACAATAACACACTAATGGTCTTTGTCTAATTTCATATAATTATGGTTTAAATAATGCCGTACTGAAGCAGTATTACACAAATATTTAATCGCAATTTTGTGCCTGTGCAGCGCGTTACCCGGTACGTAATTATTTTCACACCAATAATAATTATATTCTCAATCACTTTCATCATCACTGTGGCGCCGTTTAGCAAATCCAACCTTCAAATTGAATTTATACTCTTGATCGCATCCCATATAAGCGTCACTCATGAAGTACAATACGTAGCTATGCTCGCCGGACGACGGTGCGACAAAATCAAGCTTGATCTTAGCCTTCTGTTGCAGGCCGAAACGTTTGATTGATATCAAAGAATTTGTTGATGGTTCGCCAATTACAAGCCACCAGTTCTCTTCACGTTTTTGCGGGAACAATGGAGCCACAACAGGGCCGACAAGTTCGTCCTCACGTTCCAGCTGAACCACCACGTTGACAGTGCCTCCGCTGCGAACTGCGTCAGAATTGACAACTTCGAAGGACATTTCTACATTCGGATAACGGTTGCAAAATTTGGCTACGTCCACCATCTGACTTGATGACATCTGCAGCAACTTGTTGCGTTCGGTATCTTCAAGTTCCATAACGTCAAAAACCGTTTCGACACCAGCCTCTTTGCACCGGCGGATTACATCAGCGCCAAAATGCGGTAATTGTTTGAGATATGAATCCTTATTCCACATCGCCTGTGTGACCATTTGAGATAGCTCCATAGCTGCTAAAGCAGGGGTTAACCACCCATTTGATGACAACACATCGACGCAAGCCTGAATCAGACGAACAGACCTCGTTAAGACTACTTCGGTATCCGATTGCAGTTCGGCTGACAGTTGAATACGGGACAGATGCGCCTGCAACAGGAGATTGGTCTTCACATGCGGATCTGAAAACTTGGGATCAGTCAACTTGTGCGGTAGCTTATCATACAATTGTTTCAGCAGGTTTTCTTCTCGATGTCGAACCGGAATGCTTTCGTATTCGGCTGCAGAACTGATAATCTCCAACAAACCCCGGATCTTTGTGCGATTATTGAGTGACACTGAGAACATTTCTATTGTGGTATAGTTGATGTAATAGTATGCTGCGATCATACCCAAATTTAGAGGCGATACGTCCATCTCGTCTTCGATAGCAATACACTTTGACTGTTCTAAATCTGAAAGAGTTTGTTCGACTAAGTCCGACAAATGATCAGAAAGATGCCGATGGGTGACGCCCTGCAGATTGTAGTAATTAGGATTTTGAGTCATGCGTCGATACATGAGCGTCCAAGTTAGCTGATCGACAGCGTCCTGCTTATTTTCGATTGTTTTCGTTACAATCTCTGCACAAAAGTGGTCATGCAGGCAGTGATCTAAATGACTTTCGACTGGTAATGGCTCATAAAGGAACTTCTTGAAAAATTCTTTTTTGCTCTGCTGGCACAGAAGGAGTACTTTGGCATCATCATCTGCCATAGGTCGATTCGCCCTGCCAATCATCTGTAAAACGGACGTAATGGGGTAGTCATCATACGAATGGATTTTTCCATTATAGAACTGAGTGTCCATAATTACAACGAGGTGGGCCTGCAAGGGGATAGCCCAGCACAGTGAGCTGGAAACGACCAATACTTGAATGGCACCCGAATCGAATAGTTGCTCGACTAGAGCTCTGTCTGAACCCTTTAAGCCTTCATGTAGGTAAGCCACTCCACCCTGAATGGCCTCTTTGAGCGTATTGTCGACCATCTGGTCCAAGAATGGTTTAAGGTCCTCAACAGGTACGTGCAGAAAGCTATTGTCAACGCTGTTTGCCGCTGAATAGGTCAATAACTCAATGCAGGTAATACGTGATTGTTTGCGTGAAGGCACAAATACGATGACAGGCTTTCGAGGGGAAAGACGTGCGATGCCTTGGCATACAGGTTTGGCCATTGCTAGCAGACGACTTGCGTTGTGTGTCATGTTAAAGCCCTGGATGTGCAACTCAAGCTGGACAGGCCGCACGTTAGGATGGAAGTTGAATGTAGCATTAACACCAGCACCCAACCACTGAGCCACATCGCGGGCATTTGCTAACGATGAGCTAAGAGCCACGATTCGTATGTTATGCCGCTCGAGCTGCGACGAGATGTATCGCATACGGGAGCAAATAATTTCCATGGTCGGCCCCTCCTCGCCACCGATTAGGTGGAGCTCATCGACAATAAACAGATCTACGTTCTGGACGTTTCTGCGCTGTTTCCATCGTCGAGATAAGATGTCCCATTTCTCAGGCGTTGAAATGATGATATTCCCGCTACCTAAAAGCTTTAGATCAGTTCCAGTTTCACCAGTAAGTGCTACCACTTTTTTTCCAAGTTCGTTGCCGAACTTAACTTGCCACTCGTTGAGTATAATGAAGGCTAGCTCCTCTCGAGGAGCCACGTACACACAGCGGCCTTCATCTCGTTGATTGAACAAACGAAGGATAGCGAATTCCGCGCAGATCGTCTTGCCCGATCCTGTTGGCGCCCCAACAAAAACGTTGTCATCTGTGTTGTAAATGGCATTAAATGCCTGTGTTTGAATCGGATTGAAGTTTGTTAGGGTATCCTTATACAAGGCTTCAAATTGCGCGTTTTGAAGGGCTGACACAGGTAGCGGTTGGAGGTCGAGAAGTTCCGTTGGGGGCGCATATTTTTCAGGTAAAATCATGTGTCTAAACGATACAGGTAGCTGGGTCTCACTACCGATCCATCTGCAAATAATCAAGAAGAACGAAATAAGTAGATCTCAAATTAGCATTTGCCATTTACTCCGGCAATGACTGCTATTTCGCCTAGAAATTATTTGCTTTGTAGAGCGTTGCTTGAGTTTTTTCACCTTAGACCTTTCATTTCTTAAACATAAAGTACTATAGGTTACCGGTGCAAATCTTTTTGAAATTTAATGAAGGGCTGTGAATGAGAGCGCATTTTTGCGGAGTAGAGTCGTTAAACAATTTAATACATAACTTACCTATCCGAAACAACCCGAATAAAATATTGTGGTGGTAGGGGCTCGAATAGCGCAACGAAGAAGCGCACCACATGCTCGTCCTGAGCGAATTTTTGTTTGAGTAGAAAATACTCATGGTGTAAAATCCTCTCGGAATCAACGTCTTCGACAAGAATCCAGAAAGCTTCCGACGTGCCATGGATCTTTTCATCCCATTGAAAGTCTGGTGTAATGGTCAACTCGACCTTGAGAGATGATCTTGTGATCGGCTGGATATGGGCAACCAATTCGAGCTTTGGGAAATGGTGAACGTACCGATGGACCGTTTTACCCATCTTAGGCATTCGCAAAAGCTCACCTATTTCACTCACGTTAAGATCGTACAGCCTTTCCCATGGGAAATTTTTCTTCTCAATCTTCTTTACTACTTCATCGGGCAATTTTTTGAACTGACGAAGCGGTGACATGCTTTGCCACATGCGACGGTCGATCATCTTGCACATCGCAAGAGTTTTGTCGGCGAGCTGAGCCCATCCACGATGTAAGACGATTTCATGGATGGCTCGCATGAGGCGGGCAGCACTCTGGGTCACATAGACCATGTCGGCCATCAGCGCTAAACGTTCAAGCTTCAGCTGCGAGATGTATGCCTGAAGAAGAACATTCACTTTAGCTGTAGGTTCATCCACACTTTCCTTGATCGGTACAGGCACGCGTTCCATAAGCTTGTGCAGCTCCAACTTCTCTTCTTCTCGTATAGTGATGTGACGGAACTCCCCCGACAGAGAGAACACCCGGAAGAGCTCGATTTCGCTAAGCGTGGGCTTCAGAAGTTGATTGTAGGTAGCAATTGTGTCATGTGCGCAGTAATAGTAGGATGCAATGCGACCGAGCTCTGTGATTTGTAATTGACCAGTTCGTTTATCAAAGCGGCACAACTGAGCCTTATCCAAGGCGATAGCAGCTGTGAAGATCAGGTTTGCACGAAATTTCTCAAGAAGCGGATCTTCCGCAACCATTTCCGACGTAATGCCATATACTTGAGGTGCTCGCATCATTCGTACGTAGAGATAGGTGTACCCGAGCCAATTGACAGCGTCCCTCACTGTCTGAATGTTTCCGAGCACTACTTCGGCGTTGAGGATATCAGGCAGTTTGCTAATCATCTGGGATTCGACGGGGAGCTGCTGATTGAGAAGGGACAGGTAATATTGCAACTCGGAATGGTTTGTCATGAGAATACCCTCTCCCTTCGTATCATACTGGGGTCGACCTGCACGACCTAACATTTGCAAAACGTCAAGAGCGCCTAGTTCTGTCCAGCGTCCCTTCTCGGGACTATATACCTGGGTACCCTTAATAATGACGGTGTGCGCTGGCAGATTCACACCCCAGGCAAGTGTTGCTGTGCACACGAGTACCTGTAGGTGACGATCGGCGAATAAATCTTCCACCAGGGTTCGATCGACGCGCGACATTCCGGCGTGATGTATTCCAAATCCGTAAGGGAGCAAATCCTTTAGTTCAGCATTCTTTACCTGTTCCGCTTCACTTCTCAGTACTTCGGTACTAGCAGAACCTTCCCTCAAAAACATGCCCAAAGTATCCTTTTCTAAGCACATGTCTCGAATAGCTTTAGCTGTCTTTGCCGTCTCTTTGCGTGAATGCACAAAGACCATCACCTATGAGAATAAATAACACGTTACCACTAATCCTTCCCATACTTTTCGGGAATTGATCTAGGGAATGAACATTGTAATACTAACGCCTACAAAATAGCCCGACAGACCAAGATAAACTATATAACTTTCTATTACATTTTACAGTATTAAATAAATCAACATTTGTTTATTCTAGCTCAGTCCTTTTTGCGGCCTATTTGGCCTGACTTTGCCATCTTTTACTTTATCCTTTAGTTCACTAAATATTTTTCACTAATAAGGTAAATCGTTCATAATTACGCAAAATGATTGCATTACTTGCCTGACTTTTGCCAGCGTTGGCTAAAACCTTCTCATAGAGGATTTCATTCATAATTTCAAATCTTTTGAGAACCTTCTTCTCGGTGATACCAATGAATTTTTGTTCTAGGGGCACGGGTCGGAACGAGTTGTCAAAGTAGAAAAGTCCCTGTCGTGAATCAACACGTAGGAACGTTGCGACGTCTTTGTAATTTGGCAGAGTTGCCGACAAACCCACAAGACGCACTTCTTCTTGCGTCGTCTCCATGTTGCGGATTGCTCGAGCCACGAGTGCCTCCAGCACGGGACCACGGTCGTCATGCAAAAGATGAATCTCATCGAAAATCACCAGACGAACCAACTGAGTGTAGGTTCGATCTCCGCCTTTACGGGTGATAATGTCCCATTTTTCCGGTGTGCAAACAATCACCTGGGTCGCGTTGATCTGTTCTCGTGTCAGCTGATGATCGCCAGTCAGCTCAGATACTATAAGACCGTACTTTTCGAGACGCTTCGAAAAACTACCGACCATCTCTTGTACAAGAGATCGCATCGGGGCGATGTAAACGATTTTGAAAGCATCGCCATTAATGATACCATCCGGATTAATATGCTTTCCTATTTCCCGCAACATGCAAAGCAGGGCAACGTTTGTCTTTCCAGCTCCTGTCGGAGCGCAAACGAGAATGTTTTGATCTGTATTTAACGTGGCATCCTTTAATCGAGATTGAATCCGATTAAGAGATTTAAATTTATCGAAAGCCGGTTGCGCCCAGGTCGGTAGCGTATCAATTGGAATCAGCTTCTCATCTTCGGCGAACGGACGCGGTTTCAAAGCCGGTACATGAATCTCTTCGTACCCTTTGTGCGTCCGTCGAAGCGAACCATCAGGCAACTGGCATCGTTTATTTGACATGAAATGTGAGCCCTGTGCAAATGCCAAATCTTCCAAATCAAGAGTCTGACAGTTTGAGAGCTGTAGATTTTGCTCTTGATGATGCTGCTGCTGGCGACTTTCGTCTTCATTATCTTCACCATCCAAATCCCCATGGCTGCTGCCGAATCCATCACCGCCGCCACCAGAATCGTCCTCTAAGGGCCGCTTCCGTCCACGTGTCTGAAACATTGACCGTTTCGTTCTATGAAAATGAACTGTAAGCTTTAGCTGGGGTTTTGCCACCAAAAAACCCGATAGCAATTTTCGCAAACCAACATCTAGTACAATTAGGATAACTGCCTAATAAACTATAAGGTATTCGCTAATGGAATATAAATGAGGTTTTATAATTGTAGCAAAAACAGAGAACTGAAATACGATCATTCTTAGAAAATTTACCAACTCTCAGCGTGCTATCTTTTCATTAGTCGTTGTCAACGGCGATGAAAATAAACATTAACACAATTGTGTATAACGTACATGCGGCCAACTTGGAATAGGTAACCAAAATATTTCAGGTTAGCAAATGAAATTAGTTTTTCAACTAATTCAAATTTCTAACAGAATACGCCAATAACATAATTGGTCTGATTTGACAGTTCCAAACGCTACAACGAAGATGCAACATGTAAAAGTGAAAGCTGTTACGCAAATGTTTAGGCACAAAGTTTTCTAGATGAACAAAATCAAGATAGAATTGGGAACAGTGATAAGATCGAGCTTTGCATAAAATGCGTTGTCATTATAACGGTGTCCCACACTGTTACCCTGCAATTTCATAAAGGTTCGCACTGCCAGGATTACCTCGATGTCAGTCAACAGAGCGCGATTAAAACGTCTCCTGCGGTACTCTTTTGGCGGTACATGACTCGTTCACTACTGAAATAGGTGTTTTAAGTCATATGTCCGGTGTTGCTGGTATGTATTGCTTTAAACGGCCCCCAGCGCGAAATGGAGTTTGTCTGTGCTCGGTTTCGGACCTAAACTGCCATTACGTTGTTGGTTAGTAGTTACCATTTCACCATCACAGGGACAAAGAGGGACAATCTTTTCTATTGTCCCTGCGAAAATATACTTACGATTAGTATTAAGAGTATTCAATCCGATATAGTTACATAGACTGCCATCTGCTTACCTCGTTAACGCTGCTACCAACAGCCGTAATGCCTGGATCTGGATCTTCCGCTGCCTCGAGCTGCACTAGGATTTTAGCTAATTCGGAGTCAGCTTTCATCCGATCTCGGAGTTTCTGCCGCTGTTGTTTACTTTGAGCTTGCGATAAAAGGGTGCAATAGAGAACTAGATTGCGATGCTCACGTAATTGTCGAATCAATTCAAATTGTCTGAAGCCTAGCAGGAGGACAAGTCTGTTTTCGAGGTCACGCTCTTCGGCTGCCGTTTTGAGAATGGCAAGTACTTCCTCGGCCTTTGCCTGGGCGGCCACGGGATCGTCATAGGCCTTGGAGAGCCGGCGTTGCAACCAGTATGCATCGATATTCCGAGCATGAAGAGGCTCACTACCTCCCGACGAAGCACCCTGGGTAAGAAAAGATTCACAAATTCAAACAGAGTAAATCAAGTATGTTTGTCTAGAAACTAGTACAGACAAACAAAGGTAAACGATCCGCAGATAAATCGATCTTACATAAATTCAGCTCCTATATTCAAACATTTTTTACTGTACAAATGAGGTCTCGCCATTTTTAATTAATGCGCAACTATATTCCCAAACAGTCTCGAAACTTTAATAATCAAGTGGTGCGCGCTGGGATCTGTGATTTTGTACCAATTATCAGTCTCTCGGCTCTTTGAGTCAAACTCTCTGAAACTCATTTACTGATCTGCTTTAACCAAGAGGACCGTGTTCTGGTCAGCAGAATTTGCATCGATCTAATTATGTATTAGTCTGAAAAAACCTTCCTAATGGAAAGGTTCTCAAGTCAAACGGAAGATAGTTTATGGTTCTTTCAAAGCTGAGTGAAGACGATTACTACCATGTAACAAAGTCCCTCTGCATCTTTTCTGACCGATAGCATTTTGCCTTCAGTTATCTATTCTTTTTGATCCTTTCTGCATTTTTTGTATGATGATTCGAAACCACTAACTGAGTATGTCCCAGTTGATCAGCAAGTTTTTGTTTCATTCGAAATGAATTAGTTCACAATAATATATGAAAGTTCTTAATCCCGAAACGTTTGAAAACGTCCATCGCAGACCATCATTCCAACAAACATAATTCATACAGGAAATCTAGCAAAGCACTACGTAAGAGTACGATATGCGTTTAATAATGCCTAGAGTAATACTCACTTTCACTTCAAAAAGAAGCGTATGTGGACTAAAATGATTAATGCAAAAAGTATCACCACGGGGTTGCTGTACCGTGCTACAGATCTTACCTTTTCGAAGCTAAGAGTTATAATAAGCGATAGTGCGCAATATTCGAAACATCAAATCAATCCATCAATAGTAGAATATATGGGTCATCATTTTGACTAAATTTCTTGCCAACCTTAGCATTCTTTGTGTTGCTCTGCTGCTGAGACTTGTCCCGATTTTTCTTGCCATCAGAGTTAGACGCGAGCAGCGTGGCCCCAGAGAGGTTATCTTCTCCTTCAGCGTCATCACTCAATGTTTCATCAACCGTATTTAACATCTCCTCACCGGACTCTTCATCGTCCGACCTTTAGAAAACAGATATACATGGTTAAGACACACCTAAAGATATTGACAAAAAGTTGTAGCGACAAAGTCTGCTATGCCTGAAAAAGACATATCATAGCGCAATCGATATGTCGTTACGTCTTGAGCAAGGCGGGTATTATAAAAGGTCATTAAACAGTTTCGAACACTCCCATAGAAATACAACATTGTACCTGTCAAACTCAACGTTAACTCCGTATGTCTCGTCGATGTCAGCAGCTGTGTCTTCTTCACCTTGCCCAATGCTGGCGGAGTAGTCTGTCATCTTCTTACAGAGGTTGACGAGTACAGCATATCTGCACCGATGATCCAAAAACACATCAATACAACATAACTCCCACTAATTAGAAAGCGTCTATTAAACCTAAGGCTGGCTAAATTTTGAATACTAAACTGGCTACGTTTAACATGACACAACGAGATGCTTAGAGGACTACTACCATGAAGAATATTGTATGTCGCTGTTTCAGCTATCAAGCTAATTTGATTTGTTTCACGTTTGTTAGAGTCAATACGCACCTTTCATCGGCAATAGCTCCTAGTAACTCCTGCAACTCCTTACGACGTTCAGTTTCTTTAACGCGATCTGATTTAAGCGTCCTCAGGACTTCATCTGCTGCTCCGCATAGCAATTCCCTAGGATTATCACCAAGCATATCCTGTAGGAAGCTAAGCAACACTTCATATGTCTGTCGTGTTTCCGTCGTTTTTGGTCTGTACTCGATTCCAGTCATATCATCTGTGGATTCATGCAGCACAGAGCTAAGGGGCGCATGATGTCCTTTCTGGCCCCCTCGAGCGCCACTAGCAGCAGGAAGTGAGAGGTCGCCAGTTCGTTTCTTAATGGAGCCCCCTCGTTTTTTCTTGACATCGTCATTGCTACTGTCCTTGGGTCGGTTCCGCTCGTAACGGTCTCCCATTTTTGTACCATCCAGTTTTCCCACGAGGGAGCACACTTCACCTAAATCAACAATCCCGTTTCAATAGAGATAGAATTAGTTTTTAGTGTCAATAATTTTGATAAAAATTCGGTACATCGATATCCCATGTAATAACGATATTCAATGTTATATAAGACATTTTTTGAACATATACATGTAGTGAAAAACATTTTTTCATCACAGTATTCACATTAACTCTATCAGGCGTATAATAATCTATTCGGCTACGAAAGCGACGAAATTCAGCATAAAAGGCCCTTTGATATCACGTATATGAACTTTAAGCGGGCATAACATTACGACAACGCATAACTTAAATAAAGCCGATTCAGTTTGCAACCATTTTGCCCACAAAAAATACAAGACAGTACTCATGATTGACCTACGAATGAAGACTGTCCTTCGCCGGAGAATGCTTAAAATATAAGCAATCTTGACTTGCCTGAGGCAGTGATTCTCAGTACAATTGGCGAAATAAAATTTAAACATAGTCATTCGTTCAGTTACCTTACACGGTTAGTGCAACTAAACGCAATCAAAACGCCGTAAAATTTTAAAGTTTTCGTCAGCTTTAAAAAAAGCCGCAGTTTAACTTCATCTTCCAATCGCCGTTCACGGAAGAAGAATATTTGGCCTGTATCGGAGGCCGTACGGTGCAGCCATGTACGAAAGCAGTGTAATTTCACAAAAAAATATCCGGTATTTTCTGCGATATGACGACCCTCAACGAGGAAAAACAAAAGGGTCCTAACCAACGCATACGCCTGACCATTTTCATAACCTCATGATTATGGATAGTAGAAATAGATTATTAACCCCAAAACCATCGCTCGTATTAAACACTGAAGTAGATTTTCCGTTCTTGTCAAACTAACTGTAAAAGCTAATGTTTTATAGATCAATATATATGCGTAGGTAATCATGTTGCAATGCAAGTGAAAGCGACGACTTTGTACAAAAAAAACAACAACAACATTATTGTTACTATATTATAAGACCTCCTTATTAGCGAAAAAAAACGCCGACCAAGAATCAGCAATTGACCAGATCAATTATATTAGTAACGTTCACAAAAACAGTTGTCTTCTGCAGGTTTTGAAAACACTTTATATAGCTTTTGTATTTAGCGCGCATCTGCACTCATTGTAATCGTGTTTTTTAAGAACAAAGTGTTGCATCTGGGAACATTATGGCTTTTAATTATAAATAGACAGATATATTGTGCTTGTTTTGCCTCGTGGACGACACAAGGTTTTATCGTAACAATTAATTGATTCCAGGGTGTGTCACGCTACTGTATATGAATACTTCATGACTGAGCGAAATACGGCAAGATGGTAAATCTTCGCCTAGAACTTCTATCATAACTCGATCTCAATCTTGCAAAACATATTTTGAGCGTTTTCGACGGTGTGCCGGCTAGTAATGTTCGAAAGCGGCGGGAGGAAACACTCGGCTTGCTGAAATTGGCTTCTTCATTGATGATAGCACAGTTGAACACAACTTGCTTACCCGTGGCTTCATCTCGAGCTCGTCTCTCGATCAGTCTAGTGTCCGCAACTAGCACAAGATTAGAGTTTGCCTTATACTCATATTGTTGCGAGCGAGCTGCTGCATCCGCCATGCTTAGCTTGTTTTTTCCGACAATCGATCAACTAGAGTAACAACAGCATTCCGCGAGAACCGACGTTTATTTTGTTTTTTAATCACCGTTTTAGATAGAAGCTTCTCTAGGCTATAGAAGGCTAACTCTATCGTTGAATTTAGGGAAAAAGGCTTTAACAAGGGACTTAAAACATTTAATATATTTTGTATGAGACTGAGCATATATAGATACATAACAGAATGTCAATAAGAGTTTCGTTTGCGTTGCTATGAAGCTGAATAAGTTTACCTCCCGTAATACACTTTTAAGGGATCACTTTACCTTTTCAGAAACACACAATGCCGATTTGTGTCTTGGCATTATACAGATGCAAAAAAGTTTTCTGCTGATTTACAAAATTACAGCTTATCGAACTTATCTTTATCAATGCTGGCATGAAAATAATGTTTGTGAATCTTGGCGCGGAGTAACAATTCAAATATAATAAATCTCAAAGTTAAAGTCGCATGTCTTAAAAAAAAATAGGCTATAGCATTGTTTTTAAATATAATTACGTCAGTTCTTAGCTTCGTTAATCTTTTCCATGGTATTTCAATATATTATATAAGCAGACCCTTTAAATCTGAAAATTCATATTTAGGAGGGTTATTTTTATAGATTAACGATATTCCAAACATTCTTCTAACTGGGCCTAGGGGCTTCAGGTCATAGATGCATGGCTAAATGCCTTAAATTGAAACTGATCTGGCAAGTATCATCTAGAAAGATATGGGTGTATGTGAGAAGCACTGATTTAATCAAGCCATTCGAGACAGACAGTAGTAATCAATCAAGAGATATTGTAGGTATGATAGACTTGATTTTTTTAGTTTTTTGCCGAAACTTTTTAATACAGCGAAAAGTTTATAGGTGTCAGCGTTAAGCTTTTGGATACAGCTGGTTCTCACCTGTCTTTATTTATGACAGGCATTGGTACCGTTGTTTTAACATTGCTTAAGAGACTAATTAGGCTACGCAGTTCAATATAAGCTATCTTAAGGAACCGAGCAAGGAAAGGAATTACTTAGAATTAGGCTAAAACTTTATATTCCGTTGGGTACTACCCAGTTGGAAATTGGACTAGGCAAAAAAAATTCTATTGTAAAATCCCTTTTTCAATATATTACTAGCTGTTTTGCCAGAAATCAGGATGTAGGCGATCTCTTAGCTTGATAATGTCGCAGGAGGTTCCCACATGAAACAACGGCGGTAACTATAACGCTTGCTTGATATAGAAAAAAAATATCGTACGTATTTCGACATTTTTGACACCAGTATAGCGATTATAATATCAGTTTTGTTATCTGGCTATTCTTTGTGTGAACAAATGGCCGCTTCGACTTAGCATTAGAGACCTACCCCACTAAGAGCAGCTTAAGTGGGTCTTGCTTAATTTGTCTGGGATCTTTCAATAGACCTATGAGGCGGCACGGTAACCACACAACCAGGTCTTTTTTCAGCTATTAGCCTAATTTTTCCTTTGTAATAGTAATCCTTTGGATCTTATAAATCTTTATGATGATAACTTTGTTATCACTAACATTTAAATTAGTAAAGCTGTGGGCTTGTCCTGTATGGGCTACTATGACCACACATTCATAGAAATGCGCTTTAGACACTATTTACGTAGTAGTATAGGCTTCCAGAAGGCACTCAGCAGATTTTTCCATCGTGGCCAATATCCGATTTGGGGCCCGTAATAATCAAATAATTAGATTTTGCTCAAAAAGTCACCTTTTTGGCCAATCTGTTAAATTCATATTTCTTCATTCGAGGATATATAACGAGCCTCATCTACAGAATTCTCATTAACTCTGTTGAAGATATGATTAGAAAAATCTCTGTAACTGCAGCAGCTTCTACCTGCTGCAAACAAATTGTATTATTTAAAACACACTGTTATCTTCTATTACCATCAACTGCGTTGTACGATAATTGTCTGTCATTATCTCATGAATAGTAATAAATGCACGAACGAAGTCTAAGCTTTATGCAAATAGTTCCACGTTTTGAGACTAGGTGGAAAGTTTTTAATGGACTTGGCGTTTCTCCTCTTTAACCAACCAGTACTATTTATTTCTCATAAACCGATTTCAAAAAATATCAAACAAAAAATGACCACATGCGAATGCGCACTTTCTCAATTAAACCAATAGAATCACAAAAGTAGTGTTCACGAGTATTCACCTTTGAGCGTGATTGATGAGTATGGCCAAATAAGTGCTTCGATGAAAAAAAGCGTCCCGCTGTCTATCACAATCGGGACGCAAATCATGTCAAGGCTTATTAATTTCGGGGAAAGGACGAAAAGGAAATTTGTGCCTAGTATATCAACAACAAAGAAGTATAATTTTGAGCATAGAAACAATTATAAATAGCCTACGCATGGACGTGCTCAATCTAACTGTTAGTCGGACTTTTCTATTCAAATTACCAAATGAAGATATTCAAAAACCATATACGCTGGCCCAAATCTGTGTCATTCAAGCTCCCCTTTCATTATCAGCAAATTACCAGAGGGAGATAATAAAGTACATTACTCAAGGCTTTGTAATGTAGTCTCTTTCCCTATACGTACTGTATCTCGTAACCAGCGTTTCTTCACGTCATGCAAACTGAACGTCTTGCTATAGATTTTAGAACGATTTATTCTTCATATGACGGCGTGAAGCATAAAGTTTATTGTTGTGTTCTTATTGCCTAATGTGATACAATAATCACTAAAGACTAGATGAAGATATCTATTTATTTACAGTCACGTTTATACCTATTAGGTGCTGCAATACTGTATGTCAGTCAGCGGCACTCTACAGCGACTTTTTAAGTACCTGTGGGCTGTAGTGACCTCATGTGTTGCTTATGAGTAATTTTCGCTGACAACATATGTATTATAGTACCGTGGAATGAGTAATTCTACATAGGAGCTCTTTTTTACTGCGATGACGAGAGGAGCTTTGAATCTTGGCTAGCAGACGAATTCGGTCTTCTCGCAACGGTCGTTTCTGTTGCACTGAAATTTTTCCTTTCCACTCGCATCGCTAGAAAAACCGTTCCGGCGGTCCTAGCTTTTCTGATGGCAGGCATTCATAGAGGTCTTTTTTGAACTTTACGAGAACATCAGTCATTTCACATACAAGTCGAATCACACCTGTGACGGGTACTGGCAACGCCATCGTCGTTCGACCAAACTTCGCCCAGCGCTGGAAATTAGTCAACCTGCTATTTAGGCCGGAACTCATCAGACGCTGACTTCGGCAACCTTGTCCAAAATTTTAACATCGCTCTTGTATTGCGCGCCACCGAATGAAACAGACCAATAACCGCGTGAGCGGTCTACGTGCGAGACCGTTATTACGTTCAGTTTCATGCAGGGAACCGGCTGCCAGAAGCAATATTTGGCAGCCGTATTAGGCGTTAAGCCTGAAACATTTCTTTAGAACAATGTAGACTTTATTATCGGTTAGAAAAAACAAGCTATTATAAGTATAGCTGTAGGTATGTTTCTTCTAACAAAACCATGCATATATATATCGCAGCAAGACCGCTTTCAAACGGTGTATATGAAGTATACAACAAAGACAAAGGAAAGTTTCTTTCTAATCTAATGTTAGATTATCGGTCTGTTAGTCACGGTTTTTCTAACTAGTTAACTTTAGATAATATACGTCGAGCAGTATGATTTGACAATAGTGGATGTTCTAAATTGTTCGAATGACTTTATTCTGATTGCAGTTAAATGAAGTATCGGCAAAAATTTGATAACTTATACAATTTTTTTTACGATAAGTGTTGCTCAAGCAGTCTAAAAATTTCTTCTGTCTATAGTGACGATGCGTTATCGAAACAAGTGGCCTAAAGGTAATTCCGTTGCTTTCGTTCTAAAAGTTTCGATGTCAAAGATGCTTGTCATAGTGGTCAACCAACTTCGAAAACGTTGACGAAATTACCTGAAAAGTTCAGTAAGATGGACACGTCAGTAGCTGTGATTTGATGATAAATCATCTGCAAATAAAGACTATTTTAAAAAAATTTGTTTCATAATGTGTGGCAAAGCTCTGATTGAGGCCACAGAAGGTGATGACGTTACGTGTTTGGTGGGATCACAAAGAAGTCGCGCATGATGAGTTATTGTCGCCTGGCCAAACGGTGCATTCGGATCTCGACTGTCAATAACTAGCAAGATTACAATAATTAATTGGAAAAACCGAAGCTACTGCAAAAAAAAAGGCCTCGTTTTTCGGACTACTCACATTTTGAGAGAAGCTGGATAGAAAGTTTTAATATATCTCTCGTATAGACCGAAGTTTACGCTATTAAACGGTCATCTATCTATCTAATGGCGTTAATGGAGTTCCAAAGGCGGAATGCAAAAATCGCTTATTACAATTTTTGCTGATGGGGTCCTAATGTTGTCAAAAAAATGGGAGAAGACCGTATATCACAAAGACGTATAGCCACTCTGTTTTAAAGTTAAAAGTTGCTTCAATTTTGGCCGTCAAGATTTCTTCGACCACGCTATATTTCATTCTACTTCGATCTAAATCAGTTTTGAAGAATCATTATTAGACGCGTTTAAAAAAAATAAATCACCAGTGGACAACAACACTAACCCGACGTTATATGACGACAAAGTTAAGTTTTTAATTCTGTTGCGGATGCTCGTTCGCTATTTCACCCTGAACCTTATGATACAGGGTTATGTACTCCATCTAGTCAACTATTTCTATGTCATATTGAATATATCAAATACTGTGTAAGGACTAAGCAGCGGTTATAACCCTTTGCTCACCACTTGTTTAAGCTACTTTTTTTTTTGCATAGCTCGGAATAGCGGTGAGGAGGTGTGGGACAGCGGCAAAGCCCATTTGTAGCTAGTAAAGGCTTTCGCGTTCACCAGTTGACGATACTGCTAGCTCCGTTGACACTATGATCTATACTAAATGCGGCGCTTACCTTTAATGGGAGCTTCATCCCTTGCTTGCCTTGCTCTTATAGCTAATACTCACCAATCTAATATAGAATATATTTCATGCATGTACTTATGTTTGGATGCAGTTATTGCACTATC